AGAACAGGGGGGAGGAGAGACACCCCCCAATATGCTGGGTGAACCCCAGCCCCACTCTCCACCCGCCCCAGCATCTTGCGACAGCTTGTTCCCTCCCCCACCTTAGCCGCAGGATTCTTATCTATCGGGGAAAGAAAATAAACAACATCTGGGTTTATTTGCTTTGATGCTGTTTTTCTGAGGCCTGCGGCCCGGGAAAGAGTCCAGGAGGCAGGATCCTTATCCTTCCAGGTGCACAGAAGCTTCCAAACTTGAGCTGGGGGTGGGGGGGTGGGGGTCTGGCGTTTCAGCCCCAGGTGGAAGGTCGTCGGCACCCACACTGCCACTCTGGGAGGAAGGAATGGCATTAAAGGTGGCAGCCTAGGAAGCCCAAATGGGCAGCTCTGTGGGATCCCTGGGAAGAGATTTGAGGGCTCCCACCAGCTCTGTCACTGCCGCCAGGAACAGGGGAAGGATTGAGTCCGCTCGGCTAGCTTTTAGGAAGCACCCACTGGATGCGTTTAGCCCTGGTCTCCCTTTCTTTTATCCCTGCCATCCAGTCCACACCGACTCATAACGGCCCTATAGGACGGGGGAGAACTCCCCCTGTGGGTTTCCAGGACCATAACTGGGGGTAGAAAGCCTCCTCTCTCTCTGCTGGAGCTGCCATGGTTTCTAACTGCCGACCTTGTGGTTCGCAGCCAATGGGCAGCACCTCCCCCAAAATAACAAGAGGTGTGATCAGAAAAGTGGGTGAAGGGAGACGTCGGACAGGGCAAGATATGACAAAATAATAATTTATAAATGATCGAGGGTTCATGAGGGAGGGGGTAGCAGGGAGGGTGGGGGGAAATGAATAACTGATGCTGGGGGCTTAAGTGGAGAGCAAATGTTTTGAGAATGATGAGGGCAATGAATGTACACATGTGCTTCACACAATTGATGTGTGTATGGGTTGTGATGAGTTGTCTGAGCCCCCAATAAAATGATTTAAAAAAAAAAGAATCATAAAGAGAGGTCACCCTGCTTCACAAGCTGTCCTGGTGGTTTGGGGGCTAAAGCACTCAACCACCAAACAAAAAGGTTGGAAGTTCAAGACCCACCAGCAGCTCTGGGGAAGGAAGATGAGGCCGTCTACTCCTGTAGAGACTTCTCACTGGCATCAAATCGATTCTGACCCGTACTAACCCTATAGGACACGGTAGAACTGCCCTTGGGGGTGTCTCTGAGACTGTAATTCTATGGGAGTAGGCAAGCAACCCCATCTTTCTCCCACAGAGTGGCTCGTGATTTTGAACTGCTGACCTTGTCGTTAGCAGCCCAATGCGTAACCACTACCCCACCAGGGCTCCTGGTAGAAAGACTTAGCCTCAGAAACCCTCAGGGGCAATTCTTCTCTGTCCTATCGGGTCACTAAGAGCTGGAAAGGACTCGATGGCAGGGAGTGGGGAGTCTGGCCCTTGACAGAGCCCAGACAGGGGCCCAGGGGTCACGGTGGCCCAGAGTTGTCGATGGCGAGCAAAAGGACAAAGGAAGTCACCGCTGAGTTTAGGACAGCAGTGCCTGAGGCTGCTGGGACCCAAGAGGTTAGGCCGACAGCTCAAACCTCCGGTGAAACCGTACACTTCCGGTTTGAGAGGATCCCTGCGTCGGGTTCCACAGGAGAAAGACCGGGCTTCCTACGCCCCTAAAGAGTCACAGTCTTGCAAACCCACAGGGGGCAGTTCTACTCTGTCTTAGAGGGTGGTTATGCCTGGGCATCGACTGATGGCAGTGAGTGTGCTGGGGCAGGGCCGACGTGACGTCTTGCTCTGCTGTAGAAGGAGACGAAATTGAAAAGGGTGGCAGAAAAAGAGAGAGAGAGAGAGAGAGACCTTGAGCACACCGTAGGCCAATTTTCATCCACGAAAGCAAGGGAGATGCAGCTGTGACGTTCGTGGAGAGCCACATGTGTGAAATACAAGATTCACAAGTTTGTCTTGTCTTTCTCAGTTATCTACACGATGGGGGGCGGGGGGGTCCCGCTAGTTGGACGGGGGTCCTCAGTCCCCGTTGTTGCCACAGACGCTGTTTCCCCTGGACCAGTCTCTGCCCATATGACAGGGTCCAATTGCCCCATTGGATTTCCTAGGCAGGGTCCAATTGCCCCATTGGATTTCCTAGGCTGTATACCACAAGGCCAGCAGTTAGAATCCTCCAGCCACTCCGTGGGAGAAAGGGGAGGCTGTCTGCTCTCCTGAAGCCTGGAGTGGCCAGCCCTGTAACCCCACAGGGGCAGTTCTACCCTGTCCCGCAGGGCTGCTAAGAGTCAGAAGGGAGTCTTCCCGGGAACCGAGGAGCAGGGTGGCTTCCAAGCACCACCGTCTGTGTTAACCGCTGGTGCATCGGATCCCAGCATCACCTGGAAGCGCTAGATCGCTCAGAGAATGTTCTCTGGAGCGGGGGCGGGGTGTCTCCCTGTGGGTGAGCAGTCAGGCGGAGCCCTGCTGGCTGGTAAGTCAACAGGAACATCCTGAGGCTGGCCCGTGACTTAAAGAGGCTTATAATTCAGTCTCTCAGCCAACACGTTGTTGACCTGAAATCTGGGGGGATGGGAGACCTCGATGCGTGACTTCCAGCATGTGGGTTCCCAAGGAAAAAGCACATCTAATCTCTCATGTCTATGAGGTCGGCGTTTAGGGAGAAAGACGAGACTTTCTATGCCCTGAAAGAGGTCCAGGGTCGGGACCCACAGAGGCAGTTCCACCCTGTCCCGTAGGGAGACAAAATCCCCTCAGTGGCAAGTTTGAATCTCGGTGTCTTCAAATGGGTCCACCGTCCAGACAGCCTGCACCACTGTTGTCTCCTTGCCAGTGGCACCTTCCAATACGGATGGTTCTCGTTTCTCTCTAACTTGGAGGGAGTCGATGGGTCCCCCTGCTCCAGGGCACAAATCCGTATTGCCATTGGGTGTCATGGAGTCTGTGCTGCCTCATGGGGACCCCCCGTGCTCAACAGAAGGAACCCCGCCCAGTCCTTCGTCGGCCCCTCCATCATTCTTAGGCTTGAGGCCACTGTGGCCCGCCCTCAACCCATCTTGTCAACGGTCTTCCTCTTGTCTGCTCTGCTTCCCCAAGCACAATATCCTCTCCCAAGTCCGTGGAACAACGTCTCCCCATGGATGAAGGTCAAGGCTGTCCCCTTCTGAGGAATGAGCCCCTGGAAACCGATGAACGGCGGCAGATCCTGATTCCAAACTGGCCGCCCTCACGGCGGATCCAACTCACCATAACCTTGCAGGACAGGGTAGAACTGGCCCTGCGGGTTTCTGAGACTGTAACTCTGGACGGGGGTTGAGAGATTCTTCTTTCTCCCTCAGAGCAGCTGGTGTGTTCAAACTGCTGACCTTGCAGCGAGCAGCCCCACAGATGACCGCCACGCCACCAGGACTTTCGTTGTTAAACGATGCCGTCGCGTGGGCCCATGGTGGCCCTATGCACGGCAGAATGAAACACACATGGCTCTTGGAGACCCCTATTAGAAGTGACAATAATAGACTTCTCGTGAGTCCCTGCTTTGGGCAAGGGTTTCTGGTCCATCTGGAGGAGATCATAAAAGAGGGAGCTCCTTGCCCTCGGGTAGCCTGGGGAGAGGAGGAAGAGGATGCTTCCCCCTCCCCCCCCAAATAAACTCACTGCCATCGAATCAATGCCGACTTATAGTGACCTTATAGGACAGGGTAGAACTGCCCCCTGTGAGTTTCCAAGATTGGAAATCTTCACTGGAGTAGAAAGCCCTGTCTTTCTCTGGCCCAAGCAGCTGGTGGTTGGTTTCAAACTGCTGACCTTGTGGTTAGCAGCCCAATGCGTAACCACGACGCCACCAGAGCTCAAGAAGATTCTAATGTAAGTGGAGAAAACCCTTGCAGGGAGCAAGCCACACAAGCAGAGGAAGAAGAGGTTGGTGCTACTGCCAGGGTGGACATCCAAGAGAGGAGATGAGTCCAGGCCCTTGAGGAAGGGCACTGGTTTAAATTTTTTTAAAAAAGGCTATCTGTCAAAGCTAATGGTGGTCCCCACCTTGCCTGAAAATGTGAGGGGCAGGGTGGGCAGGGTCCTGCTGACTATGCCCCCAGGCCACAGTGAGAGTGGTTAGTCCCTGGAAGGGGGTAGTTACACCCTGGATGGTGTAAATCCATAATGTGCTCTCCCGGGGAGGGAAAGGTTAGGGATTCTAGTTATGTTCGTCTGGGTGGACTAGAGAAACAAATTCATAGACATCTGTGTATAGGAAAGAGCTTTATATACAAGAGCGATTAAATATTGAGAAGACATCCCAGCCCAGTCCAAATCAAGTCCTTAAGTCTGATATTAGCCCATATATATAGTCCATAGATATAGCCAATCTATAAAGTCCTCTTCAGATTCATGAAACACATGCAATGACACCAAATGCAGGAAGATCACAAGCCAGGGGGTGGGAAGTCTTATGGATCCAGTGGCATTGGAAGCATCTCAGCGCTGGCATGGGTCTCTACGTGGTTCCTCCAGGTCCAGGGCTCTTGCTGCCGTCAGCATAGCTCCATGTGTCTTCTCAGTAGAGCGTCTCTCACGGAGTGAGCCAAGAGAGAGAGAGGGAGAGTTTCCCACCTCCAAGGAGGAAATACAGGAGTTCCCAGAATCCTCAGGAGAAGGCCATGCCTATACAGAGGCCTCATTGACTATATCCTGATTGACAGGCTAGACTCCACCCCTACACTCTTAATCCTCAAATTGACACCGGATTATGTAACTACCACAAGTCAACTCCAGGGAGCCTCGGAAGAAAGGCCTGGCCATCTACTGGAAATCCAGGGAACACAGTTCTACTCTGACACAGGTGAGGGCGCCAGGCATTGGAAGGGACTCCACAGCCGATGGTTATTCGGGATGTGGGGAATTGC